TAGAAAGAAAACTGCACCCTGGAAAAACACCGGCTTCAACGTTAATAGAAGACTGAACACTTGATAGATGTAATCTGTTTTCTGATGTCTGAGGTAGTTGGTGGTGGCATGTTCGGTATGCGTGTAGAATGTACAATGAAGTACTCGATTATCGTAGTCCCAGCGTGACTGAAAGTGAGGTAGAGGAAGTGGAAGTAGACGTATTTTGTGGCTTGAAGTGTTTTGTCTTAACTGGTAGACACATCACAGATGAGCGATCGATTTGCGTTGAACAACTTGATCGATCTGTGGCCCCGGCACGACATTCGGCTCTCCGTGAAGGATGGAGTTTATGCTACAGGGGTTCGGCAGGTGCTGCTATGCGGTCATTTCGAAAACACGATAAAGTTTCACTCAATATTCGAGCATGGGACCTTCGGTGAATTTCTGCTGACCAATAGGGGGAACCGGACACGCATCTCTAAGGTCTAGTAGAGAGTTTTAAGCAACCGCAACAGCCCACTGCAGGATTCGCTCGGTCGCCATCGATAATGTGGGAATTTAAGGTGCGCGTTGTTAACCGAGGTAAATGTTTTTTGGGATGAAGTACAGAGTAGTCCAAGTCAAATCAAGGAATGGCTTTATACACCTCGAGATGTGGATATTCAGAAACCAAATAACCATAGTGTGTCAACATAAATTGGAAAAAACAACAGCAGAATAATACCGCAATTAAACGACGTGAAAAAGGACAGCAATGTCAAAAATCATTAGCATACCCCGGTGTTTATAATGAATTTAGTTTAGCGTTTGGCGAAGATTTCCTGCAATGAGTTCATGGTTTGTTAGAAATCTGGCGACAATAGACCGCCTGCAAGCTTCAGTGCGTGTCTTTATAAGTTTGTGAATGGAACGGGTGAATGAGTGAGAAAGGCACTGACTAAGGTCGGAATAAAGAGGATGGGAAATATCAGATAAAATCTTGTTGTTTTACAGGACTTGATGTGACGTGTCACCACATAATGTACCAGATGTTCCCGTGTTATGAGACTACAAACTGACAGAAATCTGAGGGATCGGGAAATGTGTTTGAGTTCCTTGTTCAAAAGACCGGGCGAGATAACAGGGACCTATAAAGCCAATGAGGTAAAACGCACGCGAAAACAAAGCACCTTATGAGATGGTTTGGAATGGAAAATGATTCAAGACGTAAAACATAAAACGTGAGCCTCCTGACCTTCAGAAAAACGTGATTAGCGTGGTTAGACCAGGTGAGGTTACAACTGAAAATAACGCCCAGGTATTTGACAGACAGTTGTCGTTCCATCTGGTCACTGAGGATAGATAAAGGTGGGCTGATGATACGAGAACCCTGGGTAGGAAATTTGCTCACATAGCTTTAGGCTTCCTCGAAGGGAATTCGGAATCATATTAACTGGTGTTTAGAGAGGCTGATTGATAAAACAGTACCGTACGCAGTGGTGCTCATGCATATATGCCTTCTATCTACTCATTTCAACCTTGGTCTTAATTAATTCTTTATTTTCACCCTCACACTGATGTGAACCATCTTTTCAAGTTCTTTCGGTATGGCTTCAAGCTGAATTTTATGAGGTATGGTCCGACTACCGTCACCGGTTTATTGTAACAATTGGCAACGATGGGTCAACGACAATGACCGATCACCAAATGTATCGACTCTAAGCTAATCGTATATGTGTATATGTGTACGATCAACGTTAGAAATGAACAGTGAATGGTGAACGAAGGACTCTTTTGGCTATATGATTGTGTCCCCGGTTGAACCGAATCCATACCAATAATGCAGGCAAGACACAGTCACTGTGTGTATAAAATAACAAATGATGCAAGTGATGTATATTGTACAATAGTGAGTCTCCGGATCACGACGGTGTGACATCTGTGCCCAGTTTTCGTCTTGCTGACCGAGTGGTGTTCAAACTAAGACTACTGTCGGTCAAATTACGGGGTGATCAGAGTAATGACAGCCGACTGGGTAGGTGATCAGCTGAATATCTTCTCATCCTTCAGGTGCGACCAGTATTAATGGGTTGCTGTGTCTGCGCGAGCGCAGTTTTTAAATCGGATTTCGATCTCCATGTTTTTCAATCTGGAATTATAAATGAATGAGAAACCGTTTATAAAATGTGATTGCGGAGTTAAACTCATAACGAATGACATTAATAATGTTATCATCACTACTGTTATAATTCCTCTAGCCCGGTGTCGGTTTGAGGAAAATTGTTTTCAAAACAGTTTAAGTTAGGGTTAAATAAGATTGCGGAGAACGTAACATCTAATTTGCAACGGTTGGTTCGCAATATTTTAGCGGCTCTTTGTCGGTGATCATCAGGCCGACAGTCCGTCTGTCTCTTCTGTAGTTACAATAGAACAATCCTTTCATCCACTTGGAGATGCCGTGAAAATCCAATAAGCGCTTATTTGTGTGAGCACACTACTCATAGTAGTACCTCACAGCACTACTATGACTACTACTACTACTACTATCAATAAAGTAGTAACTGATGTGCATGTTTGAACTGCTTACACGTTTCTAGTACAACTTCTGAAGAAATTGGGTTGAAGGGACTAGGTGGTGAAAGTAATAGTTATATGTCCCACGAAAAATTCAAACTTTCTGTATCCTTGGTGATGCTAGCTGGGACAATAAACGAATGCTTTTGGTAGCAATTGCAACCAACCACGACCATCCTCGTAATTCAATTTATTTAAATCGAACAGGGAAAATTTAGCGGAGAATAGAATTCAAGATCTTAAATATATCTTAAATCTTATATATATATATCTTTAATATATTTTCATGGTCCGAGGATGAAATCAGTAAAAAGGTACGTTAGTCTACAAAAAAGAAAATCTCAGCTAAAGAACGAAATATATACAACAACCAGGGTACTTACCAGACGGTTTTTCGAGCAGCATGCGATGCTTGTTCGACTGCGCAAAGTTGATCGAAGAGTTTGGATAGGGCCTGGTGCACGGGCTGGTCAGCTATGCGGACCTGATGCAATGATTTTAGTGTGACCAGTTGTCTTTCCAGAGCGCCGGAACGTTCCCGTTCTCTGGCAAGTTCGTTCATTAGGTCCCGATTGGTTCGCGTCCAATGATCGAACCGGTTAGATGTCTCAATCGAGTCAGGTCTCTTCCACAGTCCAGTCTGAGAGTGACTGTCTCGACGGATTCTATCGAGTTCCGTTTGAAGTTCAACGATTACACATGTTTGTTTATCCAGCTCTCTCTATTGAAATTTCCGAAAAGTAATATACTTTTCATCGTTAGGGAGTTGAAATAGCATTTAACTTTATGGAGAGAGTGGATATGTACATTAAATATTGTTGTATATTGTTAGAGAAAATATGAGAGTTAAGTAAGCTTCTCAACACATCGTGCCAGAGCCATTGATTTCTTTCAATTAACAAACCACCACTTCTTGATTTTCTTCATGCGTTTCGGCTGCGTTAGATTTCGGCAGACGGTAATTCAACTGCGATTGTGATTCCTGGTTTCTGAGTCGTGATTCATGATTCTTGTTCATACTGATTACTGTCATTTCTCATCTTTTGACCACGGTCAGAGATATACAAACAGGTTCTGTGAAACTCTTTAACCTGAACGTTTACACCAAAATTCAGCCAGTGTTTTTCTAGAAAGCACGAAAAAATAAACAATTACATTGACCGAACAACAAGACAATTATCAAAGAGAATAAAGCAACATCACCCTCGATGGTCAGCACACGGCGAAACGAGGACAGCGAAAGCGCAATAGGCCAACACCTACTCGAAAGTAATCGTCAAGTGGACGGAAATCGGGTACTCAGCACTGTTTATCGTGTTCCACCGTTATCATCTAAGTCAGTACGCTTTGTCCTTCTATGCACGACTGAAACTATTGTGATCAAACTTCTTGCGCCCACTATGCAATCAGTAGCGTTTCGTCCAGACTATCTCTACCATGGCCAGTCGACAAGCGACCAACCGATGCGAGTGTGGTAACTGGAAGAACGTCGTAACCAAGGGGAAGCTCAATCAAATTGCTGACGCACGTAGGATCGCCTTATACATAGGGTAATAAGATCCCCTAGCACAGGATGAAACAATATTAAATGATGTTTATTGAAAAACAGCTTGTTTCGCGTATCAGATTTTATTTTCAATTATCAGAATCTTCCGAAATAACAAACAATTGATAAAAAAATGAGAATTAATATCGAACCCTTTTCACATTGGTGAAATACAAATAGTCATAGTTACGCCCTCCTGATATCACGTATTCTTTCATCAATGTACATAATGCTTTCATAAACGTAAAACCACTTGCTTTCCAAATCCCATCTGACATTTTGTCATCCATTTGACAAATGATAACATAATATTACTATCTTTATGGTCATCTATCGAGCGACGTATGCATTAATGGGGATAAAAACCGCGAATTGAACGTAACAGACAGAATTTTAATATTTGTCTGTTGGTTAGCTAATTAGTCTAAAGAGCACAGTCTTCATAACAGATAAAAATGTGTAATTTCTTTCGTAGAAGGGCGAATGCTCAATTACCTTCAGTCTTTCCGTACGTTAGACAGTACTGTAATAAAATTTCCCATTCAAACCGAGCCATTCATGAATAAAAGTACTTTAATTATTATTAATTATTAAATCAACGCCATTTGAATGCACGTAAAAACTTTACACATAAGATTGTAATCGACTCCACACATTCACTACACGCAGATTTGGGTTCCTGTTGCTCCCATCCTTCAACTAGATCCCAATACCGTTGTTCCCTCTCGAACGTGTATCACAACTGTGCGGTGCCCTTTTTAGCACATATTCTAGTTCACAAAGAACAGATTTTCTCAGACTTTGATAAAACTTTTGGGATTCAAATAATTTTTTCTCCCTCTCCAGTTTATACATTTTTGCCTGGTTTGTAAGCTTTATGAAAACAGAAGTTATTACAATTTCAGTTACAAATCGACACGCTGACATGCAAATGAAGTATGCAGCGTCTATTTACGCTTCGAATAGCGCTGGAGTACGCTCGAAAGAAAGCAGTCTGGATCACTGACATCGTTCGCTTTAACTTGGCCGAATTCTGTCACCTATCGAGGAGCTTTTCGCATAGACCTCTTGGTCAGCCTGTTTTAATAAGAATATTATTATTAAAATGATCTTAGTTGTTTGAAGTTTCTTACAAAAGGTCTAAACTTTGAACACAACCTAAACGACTGCAAAATATTATCTAGTAATTCAGCATCGCTTTCACTTGTTCCGTTCACTGTAGAGTTTCCTTGAATTAATAATGCACATTAATAATACACAGACACACACACAACGCGGTACCGTTTGAGATCCGTGAATGACACAAAATGAAATACCTCTAATCGTTTGATTTCCTCCTTTCGTGCACCTATTTGCTCATCTGTGGTTCGGATCCCGTCTGTTGATGTAGTTGCTTCCCGAGTGACTACTTTTCTGGGCGTCGGACCTCGTTCATGCATTTGTGACATCTGGTTTTCAAGCTCGTTAATCCGATCCTGAGAAAACGAAACGCGTTCAGTTCAGGAAATAGTTAGAAGAAATTCGAATGACAAGTTGTGAGCATGCAAATGTTTTAACTTATTACAACGTTCATCGATTTCTACAGAGAGAGCACAAATGGTATGGCGAATTTCCCCACAGGCGTCAGAGGAGACAATGCAAACATAAACAGTAAATGTTTTGACATGACTATGCTCGGACGCGATGTGGTCCGGGAGAAACAGAAACTATATTTATCAGGTTGCTCTAAGCCAGATGCGATAACGAAAAATCCCGGATAACATTCAACGCTCAATGTTTTGAGCTGTGGGATAGACCAGAGCGTGGTGGAGACTATCCGCGGCGGTCTTCTTGACGTATTTTAAAGAAAAAGAACAAACTACTCATAAGTGGTACAAATAACGTATTGCAAAAAATTGCATGTCATAGATCTTATGCTGAAGTAAACAAGCAAATGCACAGATCATTGGCTATGTAACAAGGATGTTGTTGATGCAAATGCCCCTAAATTTCACAGCAGTGCGATTGCTTCATCGTTCCAAATCTTACTGTCGCTCTCACCAATGCTCTTATGCAGCTTAATTCTCTCTGATCGGATAATTTTCCTCGATTTACGCAGCTTCTACGTGTTCATCCTCCTTAAAATCCATAAGCAACTCCATGAACGTTTCCATTTCTAATGGGGATTTCTCAAAACAGGTTACCAATGGAATCAAAACCATCCTTTTTCATTTGATAGACCAAAGTACAAATCCATCTCTGTGACCACTATACTCCTGAAAGTGCAGTGTGTTTGCAAACAGCCTGACGTTCTTCCGCCAATAATCCGCGGTCTTGCATGCACTACGCAAAGTTCACCTTCAATTTGGAGTAAAATACACCTCGTATACAAGCCATTGGGCAAGGTCCTGCCAAGGTCCTACGTTAAAACAACAGTGGGATTACCTCAAATTTCCGTTATGACAATATATCTAACCTGAATACACTATAGAACATTGTGTCTAAATTTCGATGATTTTTATAACATTTCCAATTGGAGATAAAGGTTACCTAAAAACTAGTGGGAGGGGGTTGATTCGTGTAACCTCCGACGCAAAATACAATTATCGTCACGAAATAATGGTCTGCGAAACGACTTCCGCTGGGTCATTTGACACCGGCTGATTTACAAACACAAGAATCAGGATTCAATCAATTCGTTGATAAGCGCAAACAATATGAACAAACAAGCAGTAATTACGGTGACTGTTTGAAGGATCAACTGTGTGATCATTTTGTTGTTGGGATCCACAATGCAACGTTACAATGAAAACTAATGAGGAAGAAGAATTATTAGACGTTTGCAGAAGTGCACAAGGCCTGTAATGAACACGATGCTTTAATACAGGAGACAGAAAGTCAGATAATTAATATATTCCACCGACGTGATCATAAGTCACGCAGGGTTCACTTTCATGCCTCCAGTGTTGTTGAAACGTGGAAAAATTAGACGCTCTACAGTCGAGTGTAAACGATTAGCGGCTTTCAGCTTTTCAGTGTTACACGATAGGAGGAGAGTAAAATTGTTTGGGGTGACATGATGTTTTCTTTTTGGCAATGAGGGAACTGTAAAGTCTTGCTACTTCGCTAGCTAGCGCTACGTTGTAGATTTTTATCACTGAACCGCTCTCTCTCTCTCTCTCTCTCTCTCTCTCTCACACACACACACACTCACACACTATCTGGACTTATCTCTCCTGGTCTACTTCAGTTGTATCCTCCCTCACTGGGAGCTTAAAACTGAGACGGTGCACCATTTCAAACTCTGGTTGACAAGTCGGTTCGTTTTGGGGCTGATACAACGAAACTATAGTTTAAAATAACCCAACTCTTTGAGTACTTGCTACCTGTGAAATGGCAAGGACAAATTAAATAATCATGTATAAATTGTTCAAGTTATGATTGTGTTGATGAACCCATAATTTGTAGTACGAAGCTGACTGTCCGTATGCGCATTCATTGTTTTGACTTAGTGGTTTGCAGTTCGAGTTCCACTAGGATAGATGCCGCTGACAGATGGCAATACATGTAAACCAGTTGTTTAGGTTCAACTGCGGAAATTTGTGCCGACAATTTTGGACTAAACTTTTCGCCATCCCACCAAAGTGAGGGGAAAAAAGCCGACATCCGGGGCTATAATCGGGTTGGTGGATCACTGGTAGTTCAAGAAGGGGAGTTGGCCAAAAACTCTGATTCTAAACCAACCAAAAGGAGGTGTACGAACCACACACCCTTCCGGTTGTGACAGTGGTCACCAGCTGGATTGAGCATCGAGGTGTATTGAGCACCTCGGACGTTTGACCCCGTTCGAAGGCGTATGATCCAATGAACTGGACACCGGGCTCCAATGGATTGCGATTTTCGCACACCACCCTGCTACCTTGCGGGTCAGGCTTGGGCTAGCCAAAGGCTCCAGTTGTGGATTCCTCAGGAAAATTCACCTGCCTTGGCCTGGACAACCTGACAGTTATTAGCTTAACGATTTACGTTTCACTAGTTCAGTACACAACGTATTATTTTACAAGTCTTTATTAATCCAAAGCCGAGGAGCTACATATTACAGTTTCAGGACAATGAGTCAAGAGCCAAGATTCCAGACTAAACAAATACCACGCGGTTGAAACGAAAGTCCTGTAACGAGAAGAACACAAACGGCGGCTGATCAATGCCTGTTCGGTCAATGCTATTTCCATTTCCGTAGTCTTTTGATTTTTGTCAATAAATTGACCGCTAATGCTGTGCAACCTTGTTCGTGCGTCTCGGTGAAGAGAGATTTCGGCAGACGATTACCAGTGTGATCCTCTGATTTGATGGTGACTGTGATACCGATTCCTGATTCCCGTCTATTCTGATTAGTAAAAAGTCTAAACAGAATCCACTATCGATCAATTGTCTATGTAACATAATGCACTTTGTGTCCGTGTGTGTGTCTGTGCGCGCATTTTTATTGACCCTATGTGTACCATGAGGATAGTCTCTCTCTCTCTCTCTCTCTCTCTCTCTCTCTCGCCCATCAGAAAGATCATGATCGATTATGGACCGCGAAATATCACTCTGTATTATTTGTAAAATTCATATAACCATTATAAATAATCCACAAACTGTTCGATTAACATCTTACTTGTAGTTCAAGTCGAGCAGTGGCCATTTCTGTCAGGTTTTCCTCTAGATCCTCCAGACGGTTTGTTCTGTTTTGTGATCTGGTAAACACGCGTTTCTAAAACATCACAAAAGAGATAACAAATGAATGTACAATACAAAACCAATCATAAGACAGAACTGAAAGCACCAGATTAGAGTTTTGCTTTCGTTGGAGTTCACATTGGTAGTATATCTCCTGGTCCATCCATCCAGAATATAACCTTCGAACCAATCCAATGGAAAGTGCGTATTTCCACCAAATAGGACAGCTCATTCCAGGGGAATGACTGGAATTGTTGTGTTAATACTCAAACAGCGAGAGTGCCCGTGGGTACACCAAACCGTACTAAAAATTACAGACCTTTTCTGTTTGTCATGGCGATTAGTCAGATTGTATTTCATTTCACCTGTTCTTCGAGTTTGGCAATTTGTTTGCAAACGTTTCATCACCAGCCGAGGTGACGTCATCAGTGCTTGTGAAGTGGCACTTCACATTTCTAAATCATAGAACAATTCTGTCGAAGAATTTCCCCAGAAAACTGCGTCTTAGTTAAGAGGCGTGTACCAGGGCTCTCTATTGGAACACCGAATGATATTTGTATTGTATAAGTGTACAGTTTTCCGTCTTGTAACAACAGTTGGTACAGGTTGAGGACGTCTGAACTGAAGAGGTTCTAAGTTTAGTCACACGATGATGAGATAATGTGTTAGAATGAAACTATTTATAATTGATAAATTTCATTTGTAGGAAATGACTAGGGCTCGGTAACAGAAGTGACTGACTCGTACTACATCGCTCCAGTTTCCATATTTGTTCGATACCGGGCATCCACGTGCTAGTAACTAAAGTGTAAAACCATTACTGCAGCCATTGTGATTAACCATTAGGTGAATCAATCAAACACTCCTATCAGAACGAAATAAACCTTGGCCATATATCACCCCTTTTGTGCCCATGTTCATACCATCTGAATTTCAGATGGGACTGTGTTTGACTCGCTGCTTCGAGTTTATGGATTTAGTTTGCCACCTATTCATGTTTGGCTTTTTCCACTCTGCATCACCTGGCTTGCCAAACCAACAAGCCCCAAGCCTTCGAATCTCCCACGAACGACAATACGAGAACAAATCTAGGCGGACTTCCCTTCTACTTAAATCGACGAGTCCTTGTTAAAGTGCTTGATATTATTTTCAATTGTTAGACACAATTAAAGCCAAATGTTATGTGGTCGTATTGAGTGACTGGTGCGATCTCAAACTCTCTCAGATGGAAAACAACAATAATAACCGATGGATGATAAGAGGTCAGCTTGCTTAGTGTAAAGCCAATTCGAATCCACTTACTTGAGCTGTTGGTTGAGCATGTGGTATCACCATGTTTATTTGTCTCGGTGGGACTCGGACAAAAGCGGACGTGGTCTTCCGAGCCGGTCGGACGGAGGCACCCGTGACGTGTTTTGTCCCCGTGTATCGTGTAACTCCTTTAGTGCCTTGTGCTTCTGGACCGGTCGAAGTGTTCAAGCAGGAGATTCGTTGAAGCTCATCAATCGCACGCTGCCGATCGGCCAGCTCGTATTTCAAATGACCAATCTGACTTCTAAGTTTTTCGAGTAACCGATGGACTGTCTGAGGCTCCTCATAATTCACCATAGTTGCCGCTAACGATGTGTCATCGATGGAACTGTGTGGATGAAGCGTAACCGGAGTAGTTTGAACTTCCACAGAATGCCTTCGTGACGGACCTTGTTTTCGGGTTTGTTGTTCCATCAGTGCCTTAATTCGATCTTCGTACTGATGTAATATGTGAACAAGAAAACGGGTAATAATATTAAGAGATGTTTGGTTTTGCAAAATCAACTAGATATGAATAGTGCTAAAATAAGGCACAATCAAGTACCTGAGTTGTCACATCCCTTGAAAAATCGAAAATTGTGCTACATTCTAAGGACGGCTCCCCTACCTCAAAACGGTAACAGGTTTGGTGGTGGTATGTGATAGAGAGAAGAGATATTTTCAAAGAATCTGATGAACGGGGTCACGAAAAACTGAAAGAAAATTCAATAATCGCCGGAGCATTAATAAATCGTATCCAGAGATCCAAACTAATGAAAGAATAGATAATGTAATGATTATCAAACAATTTCCAACTATGTCTATTGCAATTAGTGATTAATTGAAACAACAAGATGTTAGTATTATTCCATTCACTGGCTAGTCCACTCGGTATCTTACCGAGTTGCTGAAAATCGATGACTGTGAAAAACAGCTCTTGGAATAAGGGATACATTTACAGTTAAAATAGCAAAATATCTCACGCATACAAACGAACCATTCCGGGAAATGTGTCTACATTTTCATGTATCTGGCGATCTAAACCGATCTAAACCCGATAGGGTTTCGAATCATACAATAGAGCATTCACACTGTTGCGTAACTCGCTAGGGTGTCGAGCATTTTCACCACACATCACTTCAGTCCATGGAAATATGTGTTTAATCTAACTGTCAAGGGTGATATGTAATTGAACCGCGACATGTTTGGCTCGGAGTATTATAAGAAGATAAAAAACCGCCGTTCTTTTCTAGCCTGACAGGTTACCAACTCAACACTGATATCGGTTTTGGTCGCTGATTAAGCCTCAGTTATTTGTGTTTATCAATTCGTTAGGATGGTGATGGTTCGAAACCCACCTATATGGAGGAATGCATGTAGGAACAGGTTGACCCCAATTGGAATATGAGGCTCATTCAATTTGAGTTTCCATTAGGTCTCCACCTTACATATCCAAGTAATAGATCCCTGTAACTAAGTAATTCGCTCTATTTTTCGCTACTGTACTCATCTACCATAGGGTTAACGTGTATTTCTGTTTGATAGTTTAAAAGTAGAAAAACTATTTAAAGTACCAGATGGCATTTTGTCGGAGAATGCAACCGAGTATTCCGAAAAGAGATCCAAATTACCATCGGACAATTCCAGGGGATTTGAACATTGCGGCTGCTCTAGTTTTAATTTAGAATCAATGAGATGTGAATGGGTCCTTTGATGATATTTCTTGAATTACATTATCTTACCTTTTCGCAGCGAATTTCACTGGCAAGATGTATATCCATGACTGAGAAATAAAATCCATGGGGAAAACCTCGATGGGCGTAACAACGGTAGACCTTAAATAAGTTAACTACTGACAAACAACAAAGTAGTCATTTTCTAAATACGGTTATCAGAAAGGTGCGTTTGCCTCCATCTGCTTCATACTACACCACAGTGGCATGCAATAAAAGAATTGGAGTAATACCCTTGCAAGATCAAAGGACAAATGATACATAGTTCATATCATTTCAGTAGATCTTATACCATGGTGTTACTGCGGTTAGAACTCAAGCTTTGAACCAGAATCCTATTCGCTTTCTTGCTTAGTGGCAGGACACCCTAGCAGTAGTGTTATAATTTCACAAGACGGTGCTCAGTCGAGGATAGTCGTTTATTGCCATTAACGGCCAGGATATGGTTAAATTTTCATTCATACAACAAAATATCTCATTTGGAACAAGTGTGCAGAATCCCAGCACACACACACAGGATAGGTGATGGAACGGTCCACTATCAGATGCGCATTCTTGTATTAACCATACCGCAACAGCAGCAGTTTACTCNGGGTCTTGTTCATTTTTGGTCTTTGAAAGAAACCGTATCTTTTTGCGTACTACTCAAAAGTGAGTAGTATCCCATAACAGTAGTACCCGGCTATCCAACTCTAAAGTTAGCATCATACATAATTCAATTATGTTTTAAAAATAAACCGGAACGACCTGGAGGATTGACGGGTTCAAGTGAATGGGTTTTATCGTCCATGTTTCGTAAGTTTTCTATAGCAAAGGATTATCACTGTTCCGTGGATTCTAATCAGAAATAAGAATCCGGTTCAGATTATACACACACACACACAAACACACACACAAACACACACACAAACACACGATTTTTGTGCATAGCCAATTCTGTCGATCGAAACTCCTTGGTTTCAGTCAAGCCATGAACTATTAGCCTATTTTTTCATTTTACACAATGCTTACCTTCTCGGAAAACGTTTTGTAATTTGGCATACTTGCATACTCCCAAATAAGGAAAGCAGATCAAACTATACTGGTGAAGTAAGAAGTGCCACGACAACCAAAAATGAGTACACCAAGAGACAGTCCGGTTACAGACGTCATATAGACTCGCCTGAAATTTCACAGTTTCATATTGTTGTTGCAAGCTTCGAATCGCTCTTTTTTCACGCTCTTGAGCCTGTTCCAATTCGGCCTCGAGTGATTTGACTCGGTGCATGAGAACCATAGGATTGGACTCCAGATATGTGTCTTCTACTTTCTTCAACGCGAGTAGATCAGCGTCACAGAGATGGAAGGCGTGGAGAGGGGTTGCAGAAATAGGGAGCTTGAGATTCGAAATGGATTTTTTTACACAAAAAGAAATATCCCAAGTTGCGAAAAAACAGTAAGTAATCAAAGCTCATTGCGGTGGACGACTGGTGACGTGAGCACATTTTGCACGATTGTGGAACATTGTGAGAAAATATTTAGATTTCAAAAAAAGAAGCAGACGATCTGACAAAATTCAAATGTCAAGTGTGAATAAGTCAAATATAAATACCCTTGGGAGTGATTAAAGCTTTTTGAAGAGTAGAACAGAAAAAGCTCGTTTGAAAACAGACTACAAATCACAGTTACTTGTGAGTAGTGGTGGGATAAGTTACATTTATGTGGACTGACCTTCCTTCAAATTTCATCTTCGCTCATTCATTTCATCTTCTCAGTTCACCTGGTCAACCGTACACTCCTAAGTCACTAGATTCAAGTTTCATTATTGTTCCAGCTCAGCGGTAGTGCATATTCGCCGTCCAATCTGGGCTTTTAGAACTCCGGAAGGTGTGTATGAGTGCCCCCAGTGAGCCAACCAGCTCGGTTCGAGTTTAACTAGAATTACGAATTTATGTTTGTTCAGATGTCTTCTTCACTGATGACTAGTCAATTACTTGGGCCCGACAGTAACGATAGGAGACCCAGTTGATTATTTGTTTATTCCATTCGAAAGCCTCACATCCATCCAGGTTCAGATAATCTTACTGCAAACCTACTCGGCTGGAAGTGAATTCGCGTTCATCTCATGATTACTTATGAGTGGTGATGTGGAATAACTTATATTGAGCGAAACTCAAGTCCAGGACTACCCGAGTGTACGGTTAACCGGATAAACTGAGGACGGTACGTGAAGAAGAAGTCTGAAGTATAGTCAGTCCAAATCCAGACCAGAAGGTGCATTCATGAGGTTAGGTGGTGTTGGTCAGGTTCGAAAATCCAACCTCCAGAGGTCTGCCACCCGATAGGCAGTTTCGAGGTGTAGCTTTTTCTAAAAAAGGCATAATGCGTGGAATGGTATTAAGCGCATTTTTGTTTTTAATGCAATTTTTGCTAACCAAACCATCTGGACTGATCAATTTCGGCATGGTCATGATGAGACAACGCATTACCGTGCAGGAGAATCAAATGGGATTTCTTATCAATCGTAAACAGCATTTCTGTAAACAACCGTGTCAAGGTAAGACTGTCATCATGATCCCGATCAATGAGTCGTGCCCAATCCGTGCGTGACTGATGACCCATGATATTTGTATTGACTTTGCCTAATAGAGTGTTTCTTTTTTTGCTATCTAAGGACTTATCAATCTCCGTTCTGATCGAAATTTCTCAAGGACATTTATAAACACGTGAAACAGTTGAATTCAAGTTGTTCCGTAATGTGATACCTGTTCACATGCCAAATCATCATAAGCTGAGAGAGACGATGGCTCGGTTTACTAATGGCGGATGGTCAATCGAAAAAAAATATTACATAAAAGATGCATGTGTGACACGCAATGGTGCGCACCATAACTCACGTGATTTGGTTCGCCCGGCGGTTGTTTGAATTTATTATTATCCGACAACTGCGACTGAGTTTGAATGAGTTTTTCTTTCAGATTTGTCATTTCTTTGAGCTGTATATGATGGAAAAACGAGCACATCATACGATAAACTGTTTAAGTGCATCCCTGGGAAGCGTACCGCACAATTTTCATCTAATTACTACAGTTTAGACTTGGATGCTTGTAATCGGGGATGTATATATACATTGATCAATAACCCGAGAATCTTATTGAAGGCGGAGAAAGCAGAACAAGAATAGCAGGGGTATCATGCAACCAATATCTTTGATGCGCACCAAGCCCATACCTCCCTATTTGGATCGTTAGTTCCAACCAGACAGATGGCATGACAATCTCACTCACCTGAGCTTGCAGTTTGGCCTGATCTCGATTAACAAGGGCCTGGTTTTCCAAATACCACTGTAATTTGCGTTGAAGTTCTTCGACGGTGTCACGATGTGATTCTTGTAATTTCTCCCGTTCCACTCGATTCTCGTATCGTTCGCACTCAAGCGTTTCAGTTAGGTGTTTGTGTTCGGTTGTCAGCTGACGAACCTGATTGTACAAACACACATACACACACACACACACACACGTAAGTGCGCAAGTGGGCGGAAAAGGTTTTGGACGAGGGGAACGGAGAAGTGGAGAAAGTCCAGTTATCAGTAAGGATGTAGAAATTCCATGGGCTAGGAAATGCAAGTAAGTATGTGTGTTTTCATGCTTGGAAGGTCTAAAGGATTCCTTCAGACTATAATCAAAGGAGGTTCACCTAATACTGCGATACTCGTATGATATAATCCATATGTCACTAGAAGCCAAATCGATCATCTTGACGCAAATAAGTACTAATTTCTCAGTGCAAACTGACCGGATGCTCAATGCCATTTAGAGGCATTTCTTTAACAAACGCAAAGATCAACAAAACACTCCACGTCGGAAGTCAATCGAATCAGCCGCTGCCGTTGGTTGAAAACTTTTCTTTCTGCAGATTCTCAAACATAATGCATATTACGTAACTGGGTGTGATCACATCCATTTGAAACATATCTCTGGCCTCATTTTCAATCAGTTAATTTTGAACATTCAATGCCTCGTATGAGCATGCAGAAAACCTCCAAATTCTTTAGCAGTTTTACATTATTTTGACCCAATGCGCTCATCCTATTCGATTTTGCGTTCGCAAATGTATTATCCTAGCTCAGATTCCATTCTATTTTAATACCGTGGTGGCCAGTTCCAATGCACTTAGAAACCAATCAGGTCTAGTCTATACCTTTTGCAAGTCAAGTTGTCCTAGTATCACTGGATATCAGTATATCAGTGATATCAGTATAGCACTGGTATCAGCGGAAGGGGACAAACATACATACAGAGGCGTACGCGTACTAGCAAGATAAACAATCGATATGTATTTCATGGGAATTGAGGCGTGACTGACCAAAGCCCATTCCACAACCGTCCCCCGCACTTTAACGGGAGGTAGAGAAATCGGAGTTGCATGGTAGTCATTCAGACATCGCTGGGAGGCTTGTCAGCACCGGTGAGGTCAATGCGACAGCTTGTAATAATTCGGGGACAGCTTGAAATGATTCCCGGACACCTTGATTTGATACTGGGACAACTTGACTTGCAAAAGGTATAGACGAGCGGTATTTTCTCGTTCTTAGTATCTCTAATTCCTGAAATAACCACTTCAAATCTTTCAAGTACCTATTTCTTGATCATGGTTCTGCATTTGATTGCCGCTCGCCTCGGGTGCCCGAAAGGTAGATTCTTTTGATTGTCTTCAAAATGTACTTGTGTCTCAGTCTGATCATTTATCACGACGCGAGTAACACATCAAATTTACCGGGAAGCTGATTCCGTAAACCCGAAAGGAGCTGTGCTTTCACCCAATCCTTATTCAACTTATATTGGTGATAGTTCTTCAAGCTTTGTATATTCTCTCCTCTGGTAGTCTGACCATGTCTTTTTATGTCAAGGTATTGTGTCATGCACAAATCCTGGTAGAATTTCAGGTTCATTTGCACCCATTTCTCATAGACCCTGGCATCACACTCAGTTCAGGTGCTTAGATTGCATCAACTCTCCTATACGATCGGTTTTCCACGTGACCTGATAGCGCTGAATTCCATTCCCGTGTGCCTGTGTTTTCAGTTAGACGACTCCCTGCATTCTGGACCTGCCACATGGCGTGATTTTTGGCAAAATTCGTCGTCTATCTTTTCAAATTCGTAAGCTGAAATAATAGTATGCTTAACTAACCACGAGGTTTCCTTTTGTTTATCTTGTGCGGCATTTTGTACAATTTCCCCTGTCACTCCCCTTGGATTGATTAATAAAAGCTTCGAAACACTGCATCGCGGTTTGGTAACAGTTCAGTCGTGCATCTATCTCAAAGTGCGAGTTGTGGAACTTTGTGATCATCAGATTGAAGTATGTAAAATTCAAAAAGTTCTCGAGGATCCCTTGCACAAGGACTTTATTCTCTGCCAATCCCGTAATCACGTAATCGATCTCGTTTTCGCTTACTCCCCCCACCCCCCCACCCCTCGACCAAAATGAATGTCTATATACAATTTCTTAAGCCTCTAACACACGGACCGGGAATGTGTGGGTAATTCCAACTGTAAGAGTATCTCGCTATTTTTTGTTTTACCATCAATCGATTTCTACTGTTTCAACTCGGATGTACAAACAGTGAATGATTTTGAGCTGAACAATCACGGAGATCGTGTTAATTTAGATAAAACTGTACTATTGTAAGAATAACGAGAAATCAAAGGGAGATATAATAAACAAGGCAAAGGAACAAAGAGAAATAATGAACAAATAAACAAAACAAAAACCGTCTCAAGTTTCCTAATCGATGCACAACTATTTGACAAGATAACACACTGTGGTGTGGTTGTGTGTGGTTGTTGTATCCCAGCACTGTGAAGGTGGTTCGTATGACCATAAATTGCTAGATGGTGAAGCATTAGAATTAGAAAGAATAAAAAAAGCAGTGCGCGGGTATTATCACCTTCAACTTTGTACAAAAAACATGCGTAAAACTCATGCAAAACCGATGTGAGCTAAGCGAGAGGGAGAGAGAGAATAGTGTTTTGGTCATCCCGAGAATGGGGAGCAAGACATTACACTGGGGTTCGTTTTGCACTCAATAATTTGACGAACAATGATTTCCAGAAGAAGACGAGCACCAGAACCAGAGTGAAAATTCCCCTCAAGTTGTATGTACTAAATTTACATTTCCATTTTCAAAGAGAAAATCACTGGTGAGTAGTGGTGATGTGTGTGTGTGTGTGATAAGTATTCTCCGGAAACAGTTTACCTTTTGATCCCGGTTATGAATTTCTAAACGCGCTGCATCGAGTTCTTGTTGTGTGTTCCTCAAATTGATATTCAAACAGCTCACAATTTGTTCCAGTTCGGTAATTCGATTGGCTGAAAGACGAACAGAGAATGGTGATTGTGTTTGCGGACATTGTGTCACCAATCTTTTTTTATTGGTTAATGTTTTCCAATAACAATTTTGGGAAGTGAAAATATGTCATGAGCAGCTAAGCCAAGGTCATCAAAAGGGACTAAAGCTAGACCTGATTGGAAGTGAGGGTTTTATACATTGTTGTGCCATGGACCCGTAGGACTACGAATACCCACCCACCAACACTATGACAGACACAGATAATGCGAATGCATGTTATGGTGGGCAGAAGTTAGCAAACAAGCTTGTTTTCGGTGCTCCTGGTCAAACAAAGCAGCATTTATAATAGATTGGGGAGATGAGTAAGAGGAGACCTGCTCCTGTGAAACAAGCTATCCCTGATCGCCTCAGGGATAATCATCCTAGCTGATTGAATCAGGGCCTGATAAGGACCGAGGCGACGGCAATCACGAACCAGTTGACTGAGGTCAAGGTGTTTGAGACTATCCGTCCTATCTATACGGTCAAGCGAAGGATGTCCAAAAAGGTCACGTCGCAAATTTGGTCAACAGCCGAGGTGATTGCCATCTGTTCCCAAGCCCACACTCTTGTGCACCCAGAAACAATCTGTAAGAACTACGGTCCTCCACTTATAATCTGGGGACGAAACCCCCATTCGTGAAGTCTCATCCATTCATCCATTCACCCTTTCACAACCACTCTCCCTCATACACATATATACAAACGCCAATAATCACAATTAAATCGTCTCTTTCTAAACTCCGATTTATTTCGCCGGTGTTTGCCTACTCTCACCACCTATTTGATCTACTACACATTGTGATATATGTAGCCAGTTGATGCAGCATCGAGAACGAGATTGTTTGCTAACTTTGGCTCTCGTGACCACCACTCAATCGGGAGTAGTTTCGAATATGTTATTCTTGTTGGCACATGAACACGTAGCAGCACGAACTGAACCACCCCCTATGATAGGGTGTATGAAGTGGTCCGTTCTACTGAATATACTATCACCGGATCACTCGGTCTTCGCCCGAAGAGTGCATGATTTGACCGACTTTATAAAGGACCCAAATGGATTGCGGGCTCGACACACCATTTTACTGTCATGAGTGTTAGAACGTTCTAACTAAGGGGCGGAGTGCAATCCTCAACTCGACCTCTTACTCTCGCCTAGCTGTGCCTACACAGCGGATTGCCCCAACTCATCTCCTCTCGTTTGAGGTGTTTCCCTTCGGGGAACTTTCCAAACCGATGAAGACTTAAGTTCTACAGAAAAGATGACTGATTACTGATCAGTGCACACAGTCACTGAGTTGATAACTCAGCACTTTACTTACCCTGGTTCCTATAGTGATCATCTTGAAGCAGTTCTTCAATCCGTTTAGCACGCTGTCGATTCTGTTCTTCCACGCGTTCGAGTTCCACTCGAAGTGAAGCGTTTTCACTGGCCAAACGTTCCGCTGTTTCGACCATTTCTCGGGTTGGTTGATTCTCCTGCGGAGAGATAAGACGGTGTGTGTGTGTGTGTGTGTGTGT